ATTATCGAAATTATGTTTTTACAATCATCCTCACTGATGCTTTTAGTTGAAGCCAATAATTAGCTTCATCTGCCTTAATTTTGATTGGTCGGTCAAGGCCGTCGGTATAGTAGTTAAGGCTACTTATTTGAATAAAAGGGTATGCATCGCTTTACAGTCGGTCTACTGAATTAGTTGGAGGATGAATGTTCTGAAGACTCTATATTGGTGTGGTGGTAAAGATGGGAATAAACCATATGATTCGCCTGTTGAACTTCAACACGGTAGTGGTGTTCCTGATCTGTCTATCGTGACTACTGAAGCAGACTACTGTGCTCTTAAGGTACTAATCATTTACGTACATTTTTTCCCCTTAACTAAAGTGTGATTTGGTTGATTTGCTGTTGACATTACTTGTTGATGAATTTGATCCTACAAACAGAAAGTTGTTGAGTGTACTGATTGACAAATGCGTTGAGAAGGATCCTGAATTCATATTCAAGGTATTGCAGTTTACTTAACCCATAGTTTCTAGATCGCTCTTCATTTTCATAAATTGTTGAATATTCGAAAGACAGCCAATTTGTTAATTTCGATAGCTTGCTTTTATGCTCAGTGCCGCGTTTTCATAAAGAAGTATTTTAATGCATGCATTTGTACACCCTTCGATTGGATAGAAGTTGCAGAGTGCTATGCAGTAGGCTTGTGATATATTTTAACGTATCTCAAAGTCGTTGAGCGGTGATCCGAAACTTAGAGGAATGCCAAAAGCATTAAGAAAGTGTATGGTCTCAAAGTTTTGTGAATTTGATCAGAATCAGTTAGGTAAGATCATGTTGATTTAGCGACTCTGTAGCTCAATGCAAGCGAAGGCTGAGTAGTGCCTGTTCTTCTCAGTGCAAGGTAATTCACCCTACAGTTTTTAAGTCCATTAGGTCAGTGGACGAGGTGCAGGTGATGCCGCAGTGGATGCCGTAACAGACACTTTACAATCAAGGCTAGTGGATCCTTCTCCGATTCATTTTACATTGAAAGAAGTCGTTCGTAAGTTGCACATATCGAAACCTGCATTAAACGTCATGTGTATTCTTGGAAAATTGTATCCTAATGATGTCACTACCTTCTCAAAAACGGGGTTAGAAGGGGATTGGGATGCTAGTAAAGCTGGTGTATGCATGAAACTCCCCGTTCACCCAAAATGGAAAGTAGAGTTAGCTTCTGGCAAAAGTCGTGATGCTTGGACAAAGATTATAAGTGAGTGTTATTTCATATAATTGGATTTATATCCCGTATTTTATCATTTACTCCTGAAGCTAACATCAGTTTTTGATTACAACTGAGATGTTGAGACCGATAATAAAGTTGCAACTCTCAGTTGTCAGTTGTTTGCATTTGGTTCAACCATTTAGCACCACAGCTTTCTTTCATACTATCGATTGCTCTGGAGATGTATGTGTTGTCTACGGTGTGTTTTGCCACTAGTTATGAATAAATCTTCGAGTTATTATTATTATCACTATTATTGGTGGCTTTATTCAATATTATATTTTGGCACAATATAGAAATTCTCAGCTCGTGGTATTTCAAGAAGTTTTTTTTCACAAAAAACAGAAACAAAGACAAAAAAGATTTTGAAAAAATCTGAAAAATCGTACAACTTTTCAAATTAGAAACATGTTAAGAATGCAGGTTATTGACTAGGTTAACTCTAACAACCTGTTCGTCAGAGAGTATATTTACTAGGTAAGGTATTATAGAACTTTTATACTTTTGCTTGCGTGCATGGATTTTAATGTAATTACGCCCCGTTCTACCAGAAGATATACATATGTATTCCAGATGTGAATAGGTATATTGCTGGATTTCTTGTTTTTACTGTTTACTGTAAATAACGCTGAGTGCCGTTTAGACCAAACTCTTAGGAGTAAGAAAATCAAGCAGTTATACGAACATTTTAGTGAATAGGCTATTCAGGATGTAATGAAGTTACAAAAATATCACCATTGTGTCTAAACTTGATCAAATTATTGGAAGCACGTGAAACACAATCTATTCTTGACGTTATATCGTAGTGAACGGGAACGCCAGTGGGGACAAACGAATGTATTTTAATACATTACAGAATATCTTGGTGAAATCTGAGAACTATACAGTAAATACTTCATTTGCAATATGTCAATCAATTTTCTCAGACTTTGTTGTTTCTTCGTTTCCACACCAACCAGTCTCTGCTCTCGATGTATTCTCTTCAAACTTCTCAACTTTCTGCCTCCAGGCATTCCACTTTCAATCGGTGGTACGTACTACTTATATCTGTCGACATCAGTAGCACACACCACAATATGACATATGTATATCATGATGAACCGAATCTTCATGAACAAATCCATGTTCTATAATTCGTTTAAGGCTCTACATGATGTTTGTAAATCTTCCCAAATAATACAGGATACCTATTGAGTTAGTATATTTTATTAAGATGGTAATCAGTCTTAATTTGGGCGGTTATTAAGTAATCTGTGACATAAATTAACTAGATGAAAAGTCATACATTTGAGATACATTTCCGAAGATGAATGGATGTAACTAAAGGAAAGTGACAATTTTCCGTGATTCCAGTTCAAAATAAGTTTAGGAATTTCTGTCAGGGATTTAGATTAGGGGTTAAGATTGGGACTCAGCTTACCAAGTCAAGGTTATGGTTTTAAGCACGAACTGACATCAACTATGATGCATGAAACCTATGAAGTCATGCAAATAGGTGAATAGCGCGCATTAATAAAAAAACTCCGTTTAAAATCTGAGTGTTTCGCCAACAAACTTTAGTTCCACTCATAAATGTTAGATTCAAACATTGAGTTTCAGTATGTAGCTTAAAACCAGATCTGAGTATCTGTTGTTGAAGTCTGGTAGTCAATCCATGAGTCGACACTACATATCCAGACAATTTGATTCAGATATCTTGACCAAAGCATTGGTTTCCTGAATTCTTGAAAGCAGGAACTTTGTTGCCTCAACTCGAAGTTGTCCTACCGACTGTGCTAGGATGTGGGGGCAGTGCATTGTTTTTTATGGACATTCACAGTATTCATTGATGCTTTATTCTCCTGAGTGGAAAGACTGATTAGAAAAAACATCCATGAAAATAAAACACCCTCGTTTACCATATAGATTTCTGGCATTGACTACCGAGTCTGAAAAACGTAAAACTAAGATCTTGAAAGTCACAGAAATGTGGTTCGTGATATGTGTCAGGTAGTTAGATTCCATCCACTGGAGTTATGGTTTCAGGTCAACAAGATCCTGATTAATAATTCTGTTTTCTTTCCATATCCTTCAAAAGGAACTATGTTTCTACATTAAGAGTCAATGAAAAGTGTCGATTAACTTCTAACATATATACTTTAACATACTAGAATGAACTCTCCTGGTTTTAGTTGATATCTACTTCCTAACTAGGAAATGTGTATTTTGGTACCACCGAGCAAACAATGCCTGATTTAAGAATAGGGTGTTAGGTAAGAATAACAAATGGTGAATCTTCAACTGAGGTTGTTGTGACATGTGTTGCGTGTATGCACATCCACCACCTACATCGACGGGCGATGTTTTCTGGTGTTGGAGTGGGATGGAAAAAAGGTGGGGGCGGTTAAACCAAGGGAAGACATTAGTCGATGAAGTCATCGTCGATTGGACTGGGCAATGCTAATAAGTGTAGATTACCTGGTTGGGATCCGTGTGATTATCGTAAACGATGGTTAGAGACTTTGGATGATATGGCCCAAAATCGTTTGTAATGGCGCAGGTGCATCCGTTCTTTGTCTTCCTCCCAATTCTGAGTTTCTGAATTCCTCGTAATTTCTCGTGGCTTTTATTTAATTAATTCGTATTTTTCCGAGTCGTATCTTCTATGCCTAATCTTTTCGACCATCACTGTTACTACCTCTACTATTCTGGAATTTGGCCTGACAATTCCATCTCTGTGTGTAACGACAGCTTGGACCGATGTACCAGGTTCTACATTTTGACTGAGTGACTAAGAAATGTCAGTGACAAAAGCTTGAGAGCTAAATTGGTTTCGAATACAGTGCTATTTTTTGTCATTTAACTTTCATTGAAGTTCAGATTACAAATATGACCATCCCAGGTCGTGCACTTTTGGTTGGCTTATTTTATTCAACCTAATTCGTTTCTTCAAACGAAATATCTTTGTTATTTGTCTTCTTGCGTTTTTGGAGAGACAATGATTTTTGTGCTAATTAGTTTACTGTGTCAATGAGTCCACACTTTATAGAGGTACTGATGAAGTAAAACTTGAAAATATCCTGATAATTCATGGAAAAGGATTGTAGTTGGCGATAGAAGTTAGTAATCTAAAATCAGCTGATAATTTTGTGAAAGAAACAAGATGGTTTCAACCGGTCAACTGTTTAGTAAGAATCAAAACAAAAATCGACAACTTCATGGTGACTATAGCCATAGGAATTAATATTCTTTCAATTATTGCTTCGCTGACTGTTTTAAATCCAGAAGAACTCATCTAATCTTAATGCTTGTCATCCTTCAGATATACGTCTCAGTGATTGTCTACATTACCCTCATTGTTTAATGTTATTAAATTTCCTACGTTATGAATTTTATGAACTTTTATCAGTTAGAGGAAGGCTTTAAAATCATGTGGGTTTTCGAAAAATGAAAAATGAATGGAAATAATTATGTAACCGTGTAAAGTTGATTAGATGAAATGTGACCAACTGTGTACACGATAGACTTGGATTTATTATTGTTATTCTAGTATGTTATTACTTTAAACAGTGTATTTTGTTGTAAAATGCTGAATCCAGTTGAGTTTTTCTGTGTTCATTCACCTACCGTTTCATTGCTGATTGAGTTTTATGCTTCTTCGATATCATGCTGTTGTTAATATATGAATTTGAACGCTTCATTTTGAAATAAAGTAGTTATTTCATAGCACCTCTTTCATTTACTTCTACCTAGTGTCTGGTGATCTTTGTCATGAATTAATTCTGAGAAATCTAAAAAGTATCTTATGCTCACGCATTTCTCAAACTGGACATGATATTGTTTTACAGAGATTGTCAGATGCGGTAAGTGTTAACCCTCTAAAGATTTGATGTTCGTGAGGTTTATTGTTTTGTCGTTCAGTTATGTGAATCTAGAATTTTAGCGCTGATGATGGTTTCAAGCAGATATATCGCTAGAATGATTATTAAGAGGGTATAGTTCATAACTCATCTTCGAAAAATCGGTATGTAAATATTTTCGAGTTGATATGTTTTCTGCATCACCACTTAAATAGTTGACAATAACCCAATGGTCACCAGTAATGTGCTTCAATATCATTATCTCTATGTTCCAGTGGAAAGTTTCGACCTGAGAAATCGACGTGGTTTTGAATGAGAATGGAAGTTCATTGATGAAAGTCACGTTATACTGCAAATTGATTGACTTTAAGTGGTGTTGACTAACCTTTAAGTTGTAACGTAGTTGCTGGCAGTTAGGATGTTAGTCATTATATGTAAAAGTGATGGTCTCAATTCTTTCTGAAGGTATGGAGACTAATTATTAAGGAATCTCAACCGAGATTAATACTGTTTTCTTGTGCTCTCTGGTTTCTAACACTTATTTGGGTGTTATTAGTTTGACATGACAGTAGTTTAGAAACGTTAAGGTGCCTGGATAGAAATATATGTGAAGTTTTTATAAGAAGTAGTGTCCGTTTTATACCTGCTTTTTCTAGGTGTTAGCGTGTATCTTTGAACATATTCTGTTGAAATAAACAAGTTTCTGTCTGTGTATATTTATTAATTTTCAGTGAGAGTGGCCGACATCGGCTGTCACGAATGAGTATTCTATGTAGTTATGTTGTTAACAATCGCTTTGCTAGACTTTACTAATGAATTTGTTCTTGTTAGACTGACTTAAATTTCTTCTACATGGTCATACACAAACCTTTGACATAGACCTTGATATTACAGAAGACTATTTGTCTCAAAGATATACTATGAGTCTATCAAGCTCGTTATAAGTGATAGTTTTCTGTTGTGTAAATATTCTAGGATGACTTAACAAATTCAGATTACCGGATGTTTATTAGTTACCTTGAAGTAAATGGTTAGAAAAGAAATGGATTGAGAAACTGCGTCCGATAGATAAACAGGTATTTGGTATTTAAGTGGTTTGTGAAGATTTGTTTACTTGCGAATGTCGATCATTCGACTTCAATTCACTGATGTTCAATATCATGCTGGTAATAAGTTGGTTTATTTCCAGTGTCATGTATGTGTATTTCTGAGGTATCGAAACAATTGTTCAAAGCTACCTGATTTCCATTTGTCTTCCAGCTGATGTCAGTCTATATAAAATCTATTTTGTTTGGTTCATTTTCAAGTCCTTGAATGAACTAAATTGTTTATTGATTTCTTTTTCAATGAACCTTTGTAGTCCAAAAATATTAATCAATACAGTCTAAGTATACGCCTCTATGATTCTGACTTTCCATTGTATGCTGTGAGCTTTATTTTCACAATAAATATCTTCCTAATTTATTTACATTTTAAGTTTTCTAACTGTCAATAGACATTGAATACTTTTTAATTCCAGGAATTGGTCATTGAAGGAAAACAGTTGCCATTTGTTTACCTTACAGCGTATATCACCGTTGAGAAACTTCATGATATGCTGTCTATGACTGCAAATCGTAAACGTTTAAAAGGTAAATAAGAAATTCAATATGTACATATATATGTATATAACTAGCAGTTTTTTAAATTTTTCGGTGGGTTCGCATATAACCTGAACTCACATTGTTTCCTGAGTGTGCGTTTATGTGTGAAAAGCGGTGTGGATGGAAGAGTCTGAAAGTGATAAGAATAAGAGTAAAAGCGAGCCGACAACTGAGCAAGGACTCCAGTGTAAAGAGAGTATTATTTGATACAAATATTTACAACAGCTCATATTGTCACAGTTTACATAATTATCATTAGAGAAGGTAAATAATAATCACAAATAATTGTGTGAAAACCGTAGTGGAATACACTAAAAGCACGTCAGAAGTAATGAATAAAGTTGATACATGAAAGCCTAGAATATTATGATCTTAATGTTTTGAAGAATAAAATGATCAAATGAATTTTTATAATTAATAATGCCATATTGTATCTGAAGTTTTTAAATATTGGTCCGGGTTACCTTACAAATAATAGGTAGTCAGTTTGTACGTTCAATTTCACGACTGAGATGAACACGTAATAATGACTATGTGATCGGATGAAACATTCTGGTCTTGTCATTACCAACAAGTCTTTTAACTCAGTTCCATACTGAATATCAGTAATGTATTTATTCAGAGTTTACACTTATTCAGTGAGTTGGCTATCACCAACTTTAGATATGTCATAGTTGTGAGTCAGCCCAAGTTATCATAACATACCGGCTTAGCTAGTGGAAATTGACAAGATGAAAAGTAATGGTACCGAAACAATTATGGTCACAATGGCATTAAAACTAAACATGGAGAATATGATTCGGTAAAATAGAGTAAAATGAGGGGATAAAAAGTACAAAATATTATGGGAGCCTAAGATTTATGGGAAAATAAAGAATGATTATATCTGCATCACTGTAGCCGACTTTGAGCTATTTCACCCTGCATTTCTATTCATTGATTAAGATTACTACACGGACGTAACTGTAGACTGCTGAATGTGCGTCGTGAATTTCGATAATTTGGTGAGTTTCAGTGGCATGTTTTTCCTAACCACTTACTTAGTACCAGTTACTGGACATTGCTACCAACGTTTTATAGGTATAACAGTTGTATACTTAACATTTTCACTATTTATAAATGAATGTTGTTCAAGAGCCATTAATTTTCTCTACTCTTTATGGGATGAGGCTGAATACTGAACAATCAGTAGTTAATTGGCTAGAGATTTAATATTTATTTACAAAAGATACGATTGCCATCGGATATTTAAAGAGAGAAAAGACCGTATTAAGAACAATACAACCGTCATTATAGAGGTGCTAGTTACTTTAGTGAGTGTTTCGTTAAGCTCCCAGTTCTACGGTTAAATACATTAAATTGGTAACCACTGCGGTTCCCACAATGCGAAATAAGAACGTGAAATTCTGTTGATAGGATTGTATTTGACACCAAAACTGAACGAAAACGATATCTGAACATACTACTTTTTCTATAATGTATTTGCAGTCAGATTTGCAAGAATTAAACTGAGTAGTATTTAACACCAAATACTCAATAACTTACTGATTGAACACATATTTACAGTATAATATAGTTAACTATCTGTAATCAAGAGATATGAATATTTGATTAAGTTGTATAATTACACCTTCTTAAGATGTGATTTCATGTCACAGATTCGTGGGGAAAAATAATTTCATCCACTACTCATTCAAATCATTGAAGTCCTTATTCCAAGTTTCACGTTTAGTTGTCCATGTTTGTGCTTGCTTTGGGTTCAAAGTGTGCATAGTGACTGAAGCTTTGATCTCACTAGACTACGTACGAGGCTGTATTTCATGATGCAGTACATGGATCTGTGTGTGTGTGGTTGTTGAGTAGTTATCCACGGACATCAAGAGCTGTACAGTACCATGATGCGGAAATTTACTTCAAATAACTACATTTTACCACTGACCAATATATTATGTATGAATGAAATAGATATTAGATAACGATTAATAAACTGGATTTAACTTTTTTGTGGTTGTTTCAGACATGCGTTTACAAGAAAGCAACAAAATTCGATCGAAGTACCTATATAGATCCAGGAGGTCTAGAGTAAGGTAAGCGGTTTGATTGTTGATCATGTTTCAGTTATTATCCCTACTTATTTTGTGTATCAGAATATATGGTCAATGATCTCTGTGTATGCGAATAACAAGTTTGACTGGGACAATGAGGATATCCTAGAGGACACAAACTCAGGAAATATGGGGGGAGGTGGTAATCAAACGAAATGACTACCAACCGAAGCATAAATCTAGACTCAACATAAATGTCACCTGTCCGAAGACAAGGAAGCATTATGCGATTGAAAGTGGTTCTCATTTCGCCTTATCAGTAGATCAAACAAGTTAATATGTTTGTGGAAATAATCCTGGCCTAACAAACCTATCAGACTAATGGTCGATAAATGCTTTACCCATAAATTTGTTACACCTGAAACACTTTGTTTCCTTATCGTCTTCGTCAAAAAGGAATACATTACATGCGTAATTTGATTCAACAAGTGAATCTCGTGGTAGGAAATCAATTCTTGACGACTAGAGCGTTGTCACCAAGTTATTACTTTGAGTAGATTTAATAATATCATTAGATTTTATTATGAGGAGGGTTTTAATAAGTTTTGCCTGCACTGTGCAAAATATTTCTGGAGCATGGTTCCTGATCGATGGCTTTTTTACTATTAATAAATGAATCGATTAGATTCATTGAATACCTTCCTTATGTCGGCTGCAGTGTATGGATCATTTGTAAGATATATTGCAATAAAGTCCACTTTATCATAAGACTTTAGTTCAGTCGACAATACACTAAACGAAATATCTAATTTATCAAACACAGCGATTGGATTACTATACCTAGTAATGTAGGACTTTTAATTATCGTTTGTTGGATGTACGTTAATCTGCTACTCGGTATTCTTCAGATTCAATAAGCCACCACAAATTGATACACTTTTATTTTGGTTTCAGATCTTTGAACATTAATAAGGGGCTATTGAACAAATACCTATTGGCTTTAACTAAAGCTATGAGCTTGTCAACTCGTTACAATTTGTCTCCTATACGTTGTTCAGTTTTGGTTATTTGTTCTTTATGCTCAGGATTTGAGCTTCAAAAAATTAGGAGATCTACTAGAGTGAAAGCTATCGTAAGTTGAGATTCTTTCCTCTGTGTATCATTATTTGTATTCAGTTGGTTTGTGAAGTGAAGCTTGTTATATTTTACTTGAAATAAACTGCCGATAGTGTTGCTAGCTTACTGGTATATATTGATGGATAATGATAATTCAGGCTGAATTGTACGTTGATTATGCTGACTGACTGATTGATCTATTCCGGACGAATATATTAGTGGTCTACAATCTCATTGACAAAAGCTATCTGTTACAGGTTAAGCACATTGAATCGACTAACTGATACAGCTTCATAGGTAAACCTAAGGTTGTTGTGGATCCCTAGGCGTTCGAAATTTCTAGAGGAAAATAACTGAATTAATGTTGATGGTGTGACTTGTTTAGTTTCCTGGTTGTAAAGCACGAATGTTATCTCTGAATATTACTGAATAATATAACTTTCAGGGTTTGATGTAAGTGGACTGACCATTCTTCTCGCCTTCTTTAAGAATTAACATATTATATATTAGCCTAGTATTAAATGAAAAGTGTAAGAGTCAGTTTTTAATTTCCTTGAAAAATCTAAAGATGATTAACCATTGCTGTAAAATTCCCATTATATTCAAACACAATTATATGAATGAAGAATACTTTGCTTTCATTCTGGTCAACTTCATGGATTATTAATTTGGATTTATAATTATAGAACCTGATAAGAAATTATTGAGAAGAATATTCTTCGTTCATATAATTGTGTTTTATTAACCATTAACAATGTCCTGTTTTGTTTGTTTAGTATTCATCGATTGTGTTTCATCCTAGAGATCAGTAACTTTTGCCTTTAACTCTGTGTATCATTAGTGGAAATATCTGGAAGACTTCTAATTGTTCATATTGACTATCTCTAAAGGATGCTAATAATTTTTCAGTGGTTAGTAGTGGCTGTTACTTTTGCAACATCGATTATAGTTAGTTGGAATAGATAGATAGATAGATAGATAGAAACGTGTGTCGGCGTAAGTTGCAGTATTTCGCGTCAACACATCGAAATGTAATTAACCAGATGATTGTCAAGCAACAGAAAATTATCATTCTGACAGTAGTGAAAAGCCACCAGTGAAATGTAACGTAGAAGCAAAAAAGGATATTCATCTTGGTGGTATTGATTTGATTTGTGTGTGCTATCGACTGTCCACAAATTATACCCGTTTTTGCGCACAGTATTTGACACAGTTATCAAAGCATCAGTTTACAACATATTACTGGATCATAAGATTAGTGTTTGACCTCATCTGTGTTACTTTAGATACGTGGCATTTTCACTTATAGTCGCGCCAAGTTCCAGGTTTGAACCTGCCTCACGTTCTCCGGCTTAGGAAACCGAGTGGTATGATCAGTCACCACACTTATAGTGTGGCTCATTCCCAAGTACGTGGTGAATGAGTTAACATATTATTTATTGTTATTATTATTATTTTGCCACATTTGTTATGGCTCTCCATCCTTTAACGATGGAAAGCGTAGGGTGTGACACAAATATATTCCACATCTAAACAGAGAGAAACTGGTATATAAACATTGGATGAGTGGAACTGATTGCACAAACGTCAATACTTTTTACTCTGTTTGATTTCAACTCTCGATAATGATGTAAAATATGGTAATACACACATGCATACTGATAGATATTTGTGCTAAATCCTATGGTATGTTCAAATGTACCAACAAAAAATTATCGGATTGTTTTTCCTTTGTAGTTAATGCATAGTCTAGTTTCTCATTTTTGTTCGCTTTGATAAGTATCTTGACATTTAATATTAATTGAATTTTGTTTAGGAGTATGTTTCTACAAAATCTTTTTTCTCTCATTTAGATAAATGTGTTAAGCTTTATTTATGGTGCAATATGTAATGCTATATGTGAGAATGCAGTCATTTATTTTGTAGTGGATAATGACTACAATGTCGCTTCCATAAATAGAATGCTATTACTATTATATAGTTCACTGTGGCACACAGAGGAAAATAAAAAAGACACATCATTGTTTCGATCACCCAACCCACCATTAATGGATAAAATAAAACTGATTTACAAAAATCGTAAAGTGAGCACTTTATTTTTTAATGTTGTTGTTTGCTCGTTTTGTCATTCATTGGTTGTTAATGTACACTAATCATTCTCCTCATTCCCCGTTTCTTCACCAACTAATCATCACTAAAAGTGACACATCATTTCAAGTCACTCAACTGTCAATAGCCATGGAGTTAATATGATCGATTGAATTATGTCAGTACTAATGATTTATTTACTTTCTCGTGTTGCCTCTCGTGAAGCACAGGCTGCCGATAAGGAATCTGCAACCAAGTTTGCCGTGGCCTCTCCTGCCCTCCATACACCACGGTTAGTTAGTTTGGCGCTCACGTTTAGATATTTGAGTGAATTGGTTACTGTTTATGTAATACTATAATCCTTTTCTTACTGTGTCTTTACCAAGTTGCATTGGACTGCTCCTTGGTTTCAGTCTATTGGTGGTTCCAGGTAAATCGTTTTAAAAGTAACAAAATAATGAAATCAGTATCGAGCAGACTTATTTTTGGAACACCAATGTAATTTTCGTAGATGCATATTTTACTTTTAGTCAGTAGCTGGTATTCAGTATCTTGAAATCATTTCTGTAAATGAATCATAACTCACAAATAAGCCTTGCCAACTTCGTCTGAGCTAACAACCATTGGTAGGGGTTTTAAGTAAACTGTGAGGGAACAATGCTTATAGAAAAAAGTAAATATTATCAATGTAACTATCACTAGCTCATGTCTAATTCTTACATATCTGTGTTGTCAGTGACTTCAGTTCAGTTTCACGCCTCAAAGAATACTAGTCCACTTACCATATTTTGCTGATTCTCACTTCTAAAATTAAATGCTCTATGGGTTTTGATTGGTTGGTTGAAGTGTGATATGGTGACTGGTGAAAGTATTTCATACAACAAGGAGATACTGACTACATTCTGGACCACCTGTGCAATAGCAACCGGTTAAATGCTTTAGTTGAGGTTCCTATGTTCATTTACGAACAGAGTAAAGGATTAACTCTGATACTTATTCTAGATCTGTGTTGATGTTGTTATCCTCTAATCCCTAGATTTCATTGATTTTGACATAGAAAATGATCTTGAAACTAGTCTTACCTGTGCACTGTTATTCTGGTTTTATGTTTCGTTTTGTAGCCTGAATAGTTTGTAATCTATTTATATTTGACTGAAAGGGCTAAACTAGACGTATTGAATCATAGCTTTTGTTAGTGAAAGGTGTCTTAGTTGTTTGAGCTAAAATTTTATCTATTAAGTCACAGGGTTGTGACCTCACTTGATCTACTTCAACTTGAACAGCCGATGAGTATAGCTCACAAAGTATATGGACCTGTAGTTGATGAGTTTACACTGCCAATGTTTCGTTACGATTTCCTTAACCTTTCTACTTCTATCAACCTTACTTCTAGTGACGCTTAAAAGTGTTCTCTTTTAAATAATTTTTTTTGCCTTCACAGTTGTGGGAAAGTTACTCCTTATCATTAACACTGGATAGGTTTAGTGCATTTCGCAGAAAGGTTGGTTTTTCAACAACTTAGAATGTTTGCTCATATTTTTGTCATGTTGAGTCTATTTTCTATGTATTTGATTTAATGCTAACCATTTGTTATATATGGAAGCGAAGCGATTTCATCCCGTGAATCTAAAGTTTCTTTTAATTTGAGATGTGATGAGTTCATAACATTGACCTGATTAACAAATTTTGTTTATGATGTATTTTGAATTCAGTGTTAGAATATGAAGTGAAATATGGTCAGTTATTTCTATTGAATCATCACTAGTTTTGTTTGGTTCGATAAATAAATCAAGGTGACAGGTTTATGGTGAATAAATGAGTTTTTGACTATATTCACGAACCTACTCCATCTGTTCTGTCAACGTCATACTTGTGTGTCAATGAATAGTTGAATGTATATCACAGTATGATACTCAGCTTATTAAAAAATAATAGACCATTGGCTGTGAAAATCGAATAAGTAGTGAAAATGTTCGTAATTGATCATTCAGTCATCCGAAAATTATTAATATTTTGTAATATTATGGGAGGTACAGATGCAGTGGATTAAATGGATATGCGCCTCATTCAAAAAAGACTTTGACTTTTTTAAACAGAGGTGGATGGTGGCTAGCAGTGAAATATGGGACTCACTTTTTGTCCTGTTTTCGATTTATCAGCTGAATATACCTACATCCCAGAATTGATGTTCACCTCAGGACTCGAACCCAATACCTTTCGCCTCAAATAGGACAGAAGGCGGGTGTTGGATTCCATTGCTAGCTGCTATCCATCTGTGCTTAAAAAGTGCTTGTGACTTATAATGGCAATATCAATACGATCTGGATAAGACTCACATTTGCCAGAAGAGACTGATCGATTGCTGTCCTAAACATCAATGGGAAGATTCAAACCATCGATACATATGACTTAGACTGTATTCAAAGTTATTAATGTACCGTGTGTTCACTTTTTGAGTATCAGAGGTTATCCATAGATAGCTTATATTTCAAGGAACCAAATCGTGAGATAAGCATTGGTTAAATACTGTTTCTCGGCACGTTCGGTGTAGAGGGTTATAACGGGTTTTACGAGACTCTGAAAATAGTAATAAAAGTCAAACGGATGATATTATGAAAAATTCACTGTATATGGTCAATTGTTATTGGAACATTTGGTAACCAAAATACTACTTCATATCTATTTAATATTTTCTTCTTTCGATCTCGAACATCTGGATGGACGTTGTGTCTGTAGTTTGATAAGGTCATTGTATTTGGAGATTGCCCTGATAGTATTGCAAAATATGTTGTGAATTACCGAGCAAACATTGGTCCTATCAAGGCTATTTGGAATAATCTTAGTGGGAACGATAAATGGTAAGATTGAAATAACACTACACAGACATTTTTAGTATGTTTATATAGTTTCATTTATGATAAGTGGATTTTACAGTTAGATGAGTTGCAGTGAACAACAGGAAGTAATGAACTTTGATTTGAGTTTTCTTCTGTTAATCGGTAATCAATGGTCTGTATCTTGAGTAAAATCATAGTTCATTCAAGTTCGGCATAAATGCGGAGACTTATTGTCTCAACTTATATACTTACTTACTTTGGCGTGTTTCCCGTTGTAGAGCATAGAGTGCATACAGGCATTCTGCAACTTACTCTATCCTGGGCACTTTTCCAGTTGTTTACAAGTGCTATTCATTCTTTTCATGTCTGCCCTCCATTCCCGGAGCAATGTGTTCTTTGGTTTACTTTTTTTCTTTTCGATTTGGGGATCGCAAGTTTTTTCTTTCATTGTGATACGGTTTATTGGTTTCTGTAAGTGTGTCCTATATATCTCCAGGTTCCTTTCCTGATTTCCTTCTCAACTGGCAGTTGATCTGTTCTATAACACAGTAGATTACTACTGATGGTCTCTGTCCAGTGAATCTAGAGTGCCTTGCATAGAAAGCTGTTTACAAATACTTGTAACTTTTTGACGATGGTTGTAGTAACTCCCCAAGTTTCAGCTCTGTAAGCCAGAACAATCTTGACGTTTGTATTGATAATTCTGATATCATTATTGCCTGACAGTTTCTTTTGAGTTTCAGTTGTTTTTCAGTTGTTGGGATGTTGTCTTTACTTTGCCAATCCTTGCCTTCCCATCTGCATCAGATCCTTCTTGTTTATCAATGATGCTAGCGAGAGGCATAAAACTTTCCATCTCTTCCAGAGATTGTCCATCATGTGTATTTTGGTTGGTTCTCGTTGTGTAATATTTTAGGATTCATCCTTTTTCTCTCGTGAATGCTGAAGCAAACTGCTGCAGAGTCTGTTGTCACGCTAGCTGTCTTCACCTGGATTTGTTGCTGTGTATGATATAGTAGAGCTAGGTCATCTGCGAAGTATTTCGTGCTTTCCTCAGATGTCTAGCTCTTCATAGTCCAGTCAGCCACCAGAAGTAAGACGAATGGAGAGAGTAAGCACCCTTGTCTGACTCCGGTCTTCTCTTGGAATGCATCTATCAGCTGTCCTCCACGCACCATTTTGCAATATGACTTGTCGTATGAATTGCGGATGATGTTGACGATTTCCTCAGGTACACCATAGTGATGAAGAAGGTTCTATAATAATACTAATACTAATACTAATACTACTAATAATGATAATTGGATAATAATAATAATAATTGTAATTATAATTATAATTATTATTATTATCAGCTTTATTCAATATTATATTTTCGGTACAATATAGAATTCTCAGCGCAAAGTATTTCAACAAGTTTCCGTTTCTTTCTTCTTCGTCGGTCCTGGCGATAAATATTGAGCGATCGCCAGTCAAATGTTAGCAGTTCACTAAATAAACATCTGAATAATGTGCATTCTTTTCGTTGTATATTTTCAGCAACCACATTTTTTCTTATTGAGTTTTTTATAACCTTGACAACGAAAGATTGTACACTTTTTAGAAACGCAGCAGAATAGGTTATGCGATAAGTAGACATAATGATTTATTAAAACAAACAAAAATAGATAACTTATTGAAATATCTAGATGGCAGGAACAGGTAGCCCAAATGCTCAAACAGGCCGCCCTTTATAAGATTCTCCTGTCCACACTGCCAAACGCCTTCTCACATTCAAGGAAGTTGATGTATGGTGATGAGTTCCATTCAGTTGATTGTTTGACGATGATTCGTAGTGTGGCGACTTGGTCTGTGCACAATCAATCTTTACGGAATCCGACCTGATGATCTTGAAGTTGGACGTCTACTGAATCTTTCATCCGGTTCACCAACACTTCTATAGTTTTCGCATTTGCTCAGATCTCCTCTCTTTGGCATCTTGACGGGATATGCTCCTTTCCAGTCCGTTGGTGGCATTTGTTTACCCTCTTAAATAGAACATGAAGCATGTTTTCAGTTGCTTCTTTGTCTGACTCTAGTACTTCGACTGGTATATTGTTAGGTTTTTTCTGCTTTCTCACTCATGATTTGTCTGATGGCCATCCTAATTTCTTCGATCGTTGGTGAGGTGACATGAATTTAAAGGTCTGTGTGTGCTACTTCGATGTTCGGTGAGGCTGGTCTGTTTAGGAGTTCTTCAGAGCGCTCTACCCACCTGTTCACTGTTATTGAGTCTCAGTGGTTGGTTTGCCTTCTTTGTCATTGACCAGTTTTATATTTCCCCTTAGGATGGTCAGGCTTTTTCGTAAACACTTCTCTACGATCGACTGCAACCTCTCATGAAACTGATCTTTGTTGTCTTCTTTGCCGTCATTGGTGGTTTTATGACCAACTGTTCGGATTATATATTAATTGAATGAGTTAAGTGTACCACGGATGGTACAAGTGTAAAATATCTGGAGGTATTGAGGCTTAATGAGTGGTCTCAGTAACAATAACAATCAAACATTTAATGTTCCTATAACCATTAGTGGAATAGGATACACCTAAAAGTGTAAGGAAACATAAAGTATTTCTAGAGGATAAGTAAACATCAATACAACGAACGAAGGATAGTAGTAACTTTATTTCACGAATAGATTGCAGCAAATGATTCCACAGTCTGACAAATCTAAGTAATTAATATAGAGAGAAGATTAAAATTGGGATCGTTTCACTGATGGCAATTTGTTACGGTTGGTATAACCAAGAGTTTCTGCACATTGAATTGGATAATTAGATAGAAAAGATAGTTGATTAAATATTCTGAAGAAAAAAATCAAATATCGTTTCAGTTGCTGTTCCATAAATGTCGATTCTGAGCTTATTACATCTGCATTTATAGTTTAAGGTACAGTCAGTCCCAACAATGCAAGGTGTAAATCACCTGCAAACGGAACCCAGCCTTAAGTTGTCGCCTATCTGAACACTATGACTATTGAGTTGAAATCCACTCCTTAACATTTCTAATCCGAGTTGCCTAACTGAAGTCACTCGATGATGTGAACTGCAAGTGTCCTATACTAACAAAATATTGTATCCCAAACCGAAATATATTAAAGTTATCGATCAGTTAAAGTAGAGGTGTTATGATTGCTAGTATATTTAGTGTTGATTTTTCAATACACACGCTGGTCATTTATAAATGCCTTCTTTTTTCTAACCTAATCTTATTGACATTGTATTTTATAAAGCCAGCTCTGTGTAATTTGAATAAGAATATTTGGGTCCAACTGGTGAAAATCGAATGCTTAACATTTTTAACACATTCAAGTGTGAACAATTAGGTCATTGGTTCGGACCCCTATCCAGTTGGTTTAGTTTGAAATCAAAGTTGTTGGATGTTGGTCTGTACTCGATTGCTAAAATGTGTCAACTGTAATTTTCCATCATACTTATGTGGTTAGTGGTTTTCGAGACATTTCATACAACGTGTTTGACAAATAATTTTCATCCCTTTAATTGAGGTTCATTATTTATTGATTTATCTTCCAAAGGTGCACTTCATTCCCAATGACGGGATGGATTGAATTGAAAGGATTAGTAGATAATATTTTCAAATATTTATCGTTACCGGATGACAAATGTTTAGTAGAACAAATCGATAAAATTGATGAAACTTACAAACTGAATTCCATGTTTGACCTACCTCTTCAAATGAACCTATCAAGTGAACAACAAGGTCACAATAAACTTTCTCAAATAAAATCATCTCAGTAAGTTGTGTTAATTTTTATCTAAACTTTATTCTTGTTCACTGTTCCAATAATTAATTGACTATTTGACAGAATGTTAATTGAAATATCACTATCCAGTTGTGTTGATGCAAACAATCTTGTTTGTTTAATTTTTACGTCCATTGACTTTAATGTTTGAAGAATTCTGAACGTGATCTCTAGTGATAGATTACTACTGACCTGTTAGACCAAAGTACGTGTTTACTGCACAGCAGTTCGTCCCGTCCTACTTTATGGGAGTTAAATATGGCTGGTAAGAGTAGACAATATCCGTAGGTTACTTGTATTTGATCATAGGTGTCTTCGAAATATTGCTCGTATATCCTGGGACCATCGAGTTAGTAATGCAGTTGTTAGGAAACGGGTACTAGGTAAGGATAGCAAATCAATTGATGACGTAGTGAAACTTCATTAGTTAAGATGGCTGGGACATGTGTTACGTATGCCCAACCATCGACTGCCTCGACGTGCGACTTTCAGTGGTATAGGAGTAGGTTGGAAGAAAGCTAGAGGCGGCCAGACCAAAACATGGCACAAGTCCATGAAGTCACTGACAAGTAGACTGAGTCATATTGGTAGATGTAGACTACCTGGTTGGGGACCGCGAGATGATAGCAACCGATGGTTAGAGACCCTGAATGACATGGCTCAAAATCGTTTGTCATGTCGCAGGTGCATCCACTCTTTGTGTTCTCCCAAATTCTAATCTTCTGAATTCTCCATGTCCCTTTCTGTTTTCTCTTCCCAAATTTATTTCACTGGATTATACTCCTTGAATAACATCTTCAAACCCTAATTTTTCTGATTACAGCTTATAATTTTACTACATCTAGCACTACGGGATTTGAATCGACCACTGCATCTCTGTGCTAATGTGGTGTGACAACTCGAACTGATGTACGTACGTACGAAGTTCTACGTTGTTACTGACTGATTGACTGACTGACTGACTGACTGACTGACTGAGACTATTGAACTAGATATAATAAGTGTTAGCTACACTTTCTTTTAGCTACTCCATAAAGTGTTGATGAGCACAGAAATTATACATGGAATATGAAGAGAGGAGATTGAATAGACGGTTAGAAGTTTATAGTTATGTTTTCTATACTACAAAGTTTTCGTTGCTGTTTAGACTTTGAACAAGAAGATTTCGAGTCCTGTTTGGATTAGAAGGTTTGTCACTTTCCAACTAATCACACAGCGAAAGGATGCTTGTTGAGGGAGCTGATAAGGAAACTGGATTAATAGTAGTGGCATTGACAACTCAGAAGTGTGACTGTAGAATGCTAGAGACACCCGTTTGAGACCAGTTATGTTCGGAATTTTTTGAGTAGTTTTTGTTGTTTTGGCTCCGTAAGTTTTAGGCCTTTCCCACCGATAGCGGAGATCTGTGGAAAAGATGTGATGTTCTATTTATACGACCGAAATTTTCCAAAGCCCTCTTCCCGTTGTGGAAAGGTAGTATCGATGTATATTGTGGTTGTTTGAGGGAAACACCTTACTACCATCATACTATGCATTCGATGGTACGACTTCCACTTTGGATCGTTATTTTGATGCTTTTAGTCCTGGCACTCTCCGATCAATCTGTTTGCCATGTTAGGATCTAAATGAATAAGTATAGTTTAATTAGAGATGCAAATTGCTAGCACAAGGATAGATACTTAGATTATCACAGTACAGTAGTGACATTACTAAAAAGCAAATAATGTAACTCTGTACACCCTAATTATCATCAAAGTTTCAACAGTGAGAATTTAGTTAAGCAGTTACAATAACTTTAGCACAATGATTGGAATAAAATTTCATATCATACATGATATTTTATTAATCGTTTGTTTGTATAAATTATCTTGTTCTTTGTATTAATTTAGAGAGAGTTTCTGCCGCGTGTATATATCATCATCTTACATTGACATGCACGCGGAACATGATCTGATTTACCATACTTTAGTGCCAAATTTGTGTCAAAATGTTGCACAAACGTGCAGTACTTGCCTTGATCTAGTTGATCTACGTATTGGTGTTCCTGAATCAATCACCTGTAGTCTCATAGCTTTGGAAATGTATTTGAAACAAGCAGCAGCCTCTGATATATTTATCCTGTTATTGGGTGATAAGTGAGTATCCCTTATGTATATGTATTGAAGTCACTTTCTTACTGCAAATATAATCGTTTATCATAATATAAATATATATATTCTTAGAGGCGTATATTTTGCATATAATCTGAATATTCACTGTTCTAAAGGATAATATCAAACTGCTAGAAGAACCGATAACAGTCGTGTTCGTGCATTTATATTATTCCTACTGGTAATTATGTCCAGAATAAATATCAAGTGAATACAGTAGGGGTCGTTTGATAGTGTAGTTTTGTTTGTGAATGTTGATATATTTGATACAGTGAACGCTGTAGATGCCGGCTTCCTTGACACTTCCCAGACCTACATATTGTCAATATTTGAGTCTGGGACTGAAAACAGATGAAAAAGAAGAAGGATTAAATTTTGAAAGATTACGAATTTTCTTGAGGTACCAGAGGTTTCGAGAAACGGTGCTAGAATTGTTATTAAACGTAGTGATTGTCCAGTCAGATTCAACAAACATGATGAGATGGTTTCTAGACGTTTTTAATAAGTTACCAACTAAAGTTGATTAGTGAAAGTGGTTTTCACACTTATCTTGGCTCTTGTGGAATTTCCTTAATTAAAACATTCAGTTCTTACTAAAGGTGTTTACGAATGACATCTCGATGATCAACGCATTGTTGAGGTTATTTTTAAACAGACTCGACCGTATGTCAATTGCTGTATATTAGATTGATTAAAAGAAAAGGCATTAATCTATGTGTACTATGTGAAGTGTCCAGATATTCACTTAAACTGCTTAATCTCTTCTTTTACCTCTACAACTCTGGGATAAGCCTTGACATTTTCATCTGGTTGAGCTTATGCGGTCTGTCAACTTGAACCGATGTACATACGTATTAGGTTCTACATTGCAATTGACTGACTGAATGGCTTAAAAAATATACCGAATAATAATGAATGAGTGATTTTGTATGAAATTGTAAATGATAGTGTAACTGAAAGAAATTGTAAGGTGATGCAACATCTCATATGGTAAAGTTTCTTCTAAATGAATAAATATTACCGGATTCAAAATAAATCAAAGTAGATCCTATCTGAATATGATAAAGAAGTGTACGAATTAGAACTATTCACATTTGAACAAATTCGTAGTCCAATGTTTCCATGCAATACAAGTACTATGAGGTAGTTATACGATGCCAACAGTTGTTGTTATATTGCTTAAACGATAAACTGTAATTGAATTTGTCAGTGTGTTAAGTATCTGTTAACTGAAAAAATGTTTAGTTTAATTCATTCCTAATTTTTTGACAGATATGGTTGGGTTCCCGATGGATCGTTAGTTAGAGCATTGCCTGATTCACTTCTAGCTGAAGTCAATAAATTTTACAAGCTTGGAATGTCTGTCACAGAAATGGAATATCATATGGTGAAACTAGCTGCCGTAAATAAATTGTCCAGATCAAGTTTCAACATGTTTCCTTCTACAGTGTTCGTATTCATTCGAGATTTTAATACAAGGTTTGTTTCCTTATTTCGAAAAGTGTCGTTATCAATTGTTAATTTGTGATACTTTGCCGAATCTGTTTTATATTTATAAATGCATCATCATAGTTAGTTGGTTGTCATCTCAAATTGTGATCAGTCGAGTGAATGTTGTGTATTGGAAATTGCTGTACTTAAAGTATATTTTCTTAATTAAATCCATTCATTTAATCTGAATTATTGAGTCTGATTCTTTTGTAGTGTTAGTCTCCAGATTTGTGATTCCGAACACCATTTCTTAATGACAGAAGATTGATTGTTTATCGTAATTAAAGCTTTTGGTTATAAGATTATTGTTCTTAACAGATTAATATCACCATTTGTAAAGTTACTGCCTTTTGCTCTAAATAGTTGATTGTTAATTGAACGTTTCCAGATGCGCTTACCCTCTGTATTGGATTCCGTCTATGCTCTAACAATATGAATTCGACTTATGGGTTAGGACATAGATGTGTACACGTGATTAGTGAACTGAATATTTTTGATTGAAAGAAAGATGTCAAAATCATTTTTGACGTTGATATTGGGTTGAAAATACTCAACATACAACTACAATAATCAAAATGAATCACATTTAGTAATAATTTTGCAGCTAACATCAACATTTTTCACTATGTATTTTTAGCGCCAGCATACAATACTTCAGGGTTGTCTATAGTAGAGTATTTCCTACTTTCATACACATCATTTACTTTTAAATGGGATGTCTTTCAGTGAGGACAACTGTGTTACAGTTGACCATCGTTCCTCTGAGACTAGTTAAACTATCAAAGAAAGTCAATTCATCGACTTCCTCAATTAATTCACTTCATATTGTTAAGTGAAAAGCATTCCAAAAATTAAGCATCTTAACCCAATGTACTCAGAAGAGTTTAGATTTGTCAGCGACTGTATATTGCTTGCTTGCTACAATCCTATTGGAGAATGTCGATAGCTAGAACAAGTTTTACTTACAAAACGATTTTTGAGAAACTGAATTACAATAAAGAAATAAAACAGATTTGCTGAACAACACTTGGTGTGTGTACTTCGCGTGACAATTCATTGCAAGCTCTGATCATACCACAATTTTTTGAGTGAGGACTTTTCGATATGGTGATATACTCGTTTGTTTTACATATTTCAGCAAAATACTGTCACGATACCTCTCAGGTAGATTTAAATATCACTACATCTACTTTCAATTTTTAAGAACGTAGCTAAAGTGAATCATGGAAAAACACGTTTCGTCGTAAAACGAGATTAGGAAGTCTTTCATTTGTACTTTCCATGTCAATCTGTTGACATGTTAGTTAGAGTGCAGAAAACGTGTCTCATACCTACTGAGTGTGCTTGAAAAGACTATATTTCAGTTGTAATTTATCATTACTTACATACTTTTGTAAAAGGTTGTCCCCCTTGAAAAATCTTTATAAAGAAAAGGTTTCTGAAGAGAACTGGTTCTGTTGTTGTAGTAAGTCACTATGCTTGTTCTGTCAGTGTGATATTGTGAAAACTATCGAAATATAAGAATTTAATGTTCATTTCCTTTGAAAAATCCACTCATTTTATATATTCTGTTGTATTTTCTCTTTTGTTGTATATATAATACCACTTGGAGTATCTAATAAATCTATACTGTCCCTCTTTGTTAACTACGAAATTTTGATCCTTTTCTGTCATTTCTTTTGATATACATAGTTAGCCTACTTTCTCTATTATTCATAATGCATCGAAAAATCAGTTTTGGTTAATCCTGTTAGGGTGATTTTAAAGGGTCTATGCCATCAGAACTATTATCAAAATCTAACATTGTATTCTTTTTACTAAAAAACATTAGTGACATACCGAATGAATATGGACAAATATTTCGTGATCACGATCCAGTCAATCTTCATCACCTCGATGCGTTCAAACAACTCTTACTGAATGATGGAGTTTCTATCCTCAGGTATTCTAGTTTAATTCAGTGTGCTATTTGATTATTTTTGGTATAGCTCAAAATATCTGTTTCAACTCATTTTTCTTCTTCAAGCAATCACTTTCTGCTGGAATATACTCTTTGTAGATCATCTGATTAGGCTTGTGAAATTAGTGTAGCTCCTGTTGACACCGCATTATCCAAAATAGATAAATTGATCATAATGCTTTGATATTTTCGAATATTCTGTTTTCTGGAGATTCTTGATAGATCCCAGTGACTATTTTTATCAGTTTTTGTAAATACTCTGTGTAAGAACAAATCCCTCACATTGACGATAATCTATAGAAACTCATTTTTCATCCTTCATTATTATGAAGAGAATTGTAATGTATGTCACTCTTTAAAGTTTTAACGGAAAATGGGGTTTTTCAATAGCACAATTTTTTAAAGCTTTTTAAAGAAGCTGTGTGATTGTTCATTGAATAGCACACCTTTCCTGGTTCAATTTCACCAAGTACTTCCAATTATCAAATGAACAATAGATTAGAATGATATGAAAAATAGTACTACCTGTTACATAGAATATCTCATACTCCAATGATGAACAATCTGTTTTATAATCCATTTGATAGTTTGCTTTCTATGAGGCGTGTTTTGGTTTGTAAATATGATTAAATAAATTCTTGTTGCAATTTCAGTTACTCTGCTCGATTCATTGGTGTAATTGATGACCGTCCGATGATGGGAAATCTAGATAACTTTGCAAATCAATTTATATCAACACTAGAATCAACGCTTAAGAGATTATATTACAACCCTGTAAGTGTGTTTTTTGGCACTTACTCGCTGATCATATTTCTCCACTCTCTTTATATCTGTCATAAAATGTTGTTTTACGTCTAAAAGTGATTACACGTGAACGATTTTGTGCATATAATGTAGGTACTTTGATATCAGAAGTTAGCTCTTATCTATCCTACCATTTTTGAATTATGCTGATAAATATCTTTCATTTATTGGTAAATCTAGTTCTTACTCATTTATTTACTTACGCTTGTTACCGCTGGTGGAGGAGCATAGGCCATCCACCAGCATTCTCCATCGAACTCTGTCTTGGTCAACCTTTGCTGTTGCTCTTCATCCTTTTGATGTCTGCTTCCAATTCTCGAGGCAGTGTGTTCTTTGGTCTTCCACTTTTCTTTTTCCCTTCAATATTCCAAGTTAGAGCTTGCCTCATGTATTTCCCGGTCAGTTGCTGCCGCCTTCTTTTTGACTAATCCTTATTAATTTTAAAACATTCTGTAGATGTCTTCTGTAAATCATTTTAATCACTAACTGACTACTACCTTACTGAGTGATCCATATCATTTATTGTTTCATCAATCTCTTGCTGCAAACTTTAATAGGTAAATGACGCTATTAAATCGTCAATGGTTACGTCGTCTGATGATAATGATGAACTGATAGATATTTCAGAACTTTTTGCAACTTATGTGAATCCAATAGCTTGTAATATATCACCACGACATTTGCTAAATATACAACATGCCTTTAAAACAATGATTGGAAAATGTGTTCCGACTTATTTCACTGGCCAACATACAAAATCTGATGAATCTTCAAATACAACTTCTAAGAACGTTAGAATTGAAGATAGAACCTCAAACGATCAAAGTTAGTTTAGTTTTTAGAAAATAAAAATATTTTGACAGCGTTTGTTATTATCTAGTCTATCGCATTGTCTAGTTGAATATTTATTATGTAAAAGTGGCAAACGAATCAGTTACTGAATATATATTTGTTAGATTATGTAGGTTGTGTTTGTAACAAATTGATCACGTTTAATGTATCATTGGAAGTCAGGGTGCACTGGATAACTGTTTCACTGTAGTATGAGAGTGCTTGATAATGCTCAAGTGTTCTGTTTGAAATCTGAGAGTTTTGGTCATGGGTACGCACAGATAAACAGATTAATCTGTGATGAATACAACCTACAAATCGCTTCAACCGATCTTTCGTCATAACATGAAAGTAACTTTGTGTTGAAAGATTGTTCCATAATTTTTCTTTATTGAGTGTGATTTATGCTGTGAATGTGAGTAATTTAACTTCGTAACTTGTAAACAGCTGTTTATGCAAAGTACTCCGTGTTCATTGGACATAGACCATCAATGACACCCTACTATAACAAAGAAAAGTCGATTGGAGAATGCTGGTTTGCGCCTATGTTCCACCAGTGGTGGTAACAGGCATGAACTAACTACACTCTAACCTATATAAAGTATTATTTGGAACTAAGAGCAAATCTTTGTCTATAATTATTTTCATATTCGCTTCCATGATGAAAATTGATTTGATTCACGTTTAAACATGTAATGGTGTGTTTACAATTTGTTGAACAATACATTCAATGACACAACATTGCTCGCACACGTATAACCTTATGAAGATCATGTATTCATGTTACAAAATACACGATACACTTGAACACTTATAATTATAAATGAAATCATATAATCATCTTAATGTCTATTATTACCATTGCAATAGTTGTTAGTTTTTTCCTTGTTTATTGTGCATTAACGCACGGTAAACATTTTCACAACTTAACAAAATTTTCTTCTAATAATCATGTTTCATCAGTTGCATTTGTTGTTTTGTTTCTAGTGCACGTTCAGATGATCAAATTTGTAATTATTTTTATAAAGTTTCAAAATGACTGATGTAGAGTTTATTTTTCTCTCTCTCTCTCTGTGGATCAACATGCGAAGTAGATAAATGTGAAACTAATTACTTCACTCGCATCTTGTTTGTT